TGTGATAAGGAGATTACCTAAATCAGGATTGTTGGGAGGTTAACTGTTGGTGGGGGTAATTGTGTGGGTTGGTTGAGGGTCAGTGCTGTCTCTTGTTGGCTATGAGGTTGATTTGGATTCTGAATGATTGGTATGCTGGTTGTAGTTCAATGTGTCTGTTGATGGAATGGTTTATGGAGTTCCAGGTTTCAATAAACTCACAAGCATGATGGGAGGTAATGTGGCTGGTGATTTTTGTGATGCTCCAAATGAACTGGTGCTGTTTGGTGTGGGTGTGGGTAGAAATTAAGGATTTTAGATCAAGGTATTTGACTGATGTTCATGGATCCTAGTTTTTAATTGTCTTGATGTTAGTCCCATGAAGACTTGGTTGCAATGGCTAAAGTTGATTTTGTAGACTACATTGTTTCTTTTATCCTTCTGTATTTTGTCTTTGGTTCTGGATAATTCCTGGTGGAGTGTGGCTGTGAGTTGTGAAATTGTTATTCCAAGAATTTGGAGGATTGTTTTTTATTTCTGACACTCCGTTTGTGTACAGTAGGGTTTGATGTCTACTGTGCAACACAAAAGGCAAAATGAAACAGTTGGCTAAAAAGAGAAAAAAGCACTAAAGAAGATGAAAGCACTGAAACAAGATGAAAGCATTGTCATCCTACTGGCTGACAAACGTAGATTGCCAGTAGTAATGGCCAAATTAACTACATTAAAGCTGAAAATCATCTCAACAGCACCAACACCTACCAGATAACCCACAATGACACAACAAAATAGCTAAAGGACAAAAGGACACCCTAAGAAAAATGGAAAAAGAAAAACGGGTAACACCACTGGAGAGAAAGCACATGCAATTGACACTGACATCCCTTAAACAAAGATAGAACTCTGATCTCTATTTTTAACTTCCAGTAGGAAAATTCTTTTTCCTTTAGTCACCCTTTATTTTGGGGAAAAAAACATCTCAATTTTTCCTAGAGGACACTGGGTTATGATTTATCAGTTTCTCTTGTACTTAGAAGAAACAGTGAGTTTTCACAATGTTTCTAAAAGGAGATAAAGTGTTCTGGGAACTATTTGGAAAAAAACCCCAATGCTCTCTAATTTACAGTTTATTTTTTAAAATATAAATTAAAAAATTTTATATTAAATTTTATATTAAAACCAAACCCAGCATATATCTTCTTATTCAATCTTTGCCCCCCCCTAAAAAAAGTAGTTGCCCACGGTGAAAAAAAAATCTTCATCTCATAGTGTATATTTTCAGTGTTTGGCTACGTCTATATGTCTTTACAGATAATAGGAACAGAGAATATGAAGAAGGTAAGTAACAACATTGACTGAATTTATCCTTATTGACTTTTCAGGTGGACCAAAGTCTATGCTGGGATTAATGGTTTTCCTGGTAATCGTATACTGTGTACCAGTGGTGGGAAATGGCCTTGTCATCTTGGTCACCACAATGGATCTTCATTTCCACACACCCATGTACATTTCTCATCAGCAATTTATCCTTATATCATATAAGATATTCAACATCTTCAATCTCACAGATCATTGAAAATCTTCAAGTGGACAGACCTTCCATGACCTTTTTATTGTGTTATTTTCAAATGAGTATTAGCATATGGTTAGGCATAACTGAAGGTTTCCTCTTGGCTGTTGTGATTTATGATTGGTATGTAGCAATTTCTTCTCCTCTCCATTATACAATAACCATAAGCAAAACCTGGTGTATTTGGTATTCAGCAGTTGGGACATGGTCTGTTGGCTTAGCTTTAGGAGTAATTCCCATCTATGAGATACCAGCAGACTTTTGTAAAAATAATGTGATTTATCATTTTTCCTGTGAATTCAAAGCCATTTTCAAACTTTTATGTTCAGATACTTCTTTGAATCAGGTAATTATGCTACTCACAGGAATTCTCACATTTCTTGGCAGGTAAAATTTTACAGGTAAAAACTGTGGGAAACTGTGTTGGAGAAATACTTCATATTCATGTTGATCTTGTTTGTCTTCAGTAAGACTTCTTTTTTTTTTCATTTGCAAGTGTTTTCTTGATTTATGTACACAATTTTTTTATTATTTTTTTCCAAATAAATAATTCATGTTATTTCATTGACACACATGCAAGGGTTAAATATCTAATGTTCATATTTAATACATACCAAAGCAGAATGTATTGACTGGGGGTCACATGATAGCTGTGTCCCAATATCTAAGGAGTTGCCATAAAGAAGAGGGGGTCAACCTATTATGCAAGGCACCTGANTCCTTTCTTTCTTTCTTTCTTTCTTTCTTTCTTTCTTTCTTTCTTTCTTTTTTATTGTGTCTCTCTCTTCAACTTTCTTTCTCTTTTCTTCTTTCTCTTTCTCTTTCTTTCTCTGTCTTTCTCTTTCTATCTTTGTCTCTCTTTTCTCTCTCTCTCTTCCTTCCCTTCTTTATCTCTTACTCTTTCTCTTTCTTTCTCTCTCTCTCCTCCCTCTCCCTCACACACAAAGATATATTCCAGTTGGCAAAAATTTCTGTTTTGCCAGCTGTGAGCCTTGTTTTCCCTGCCACCCACAACTCTCAGAGGAAGGAGGCAGGGAAGCGAGCCCGGGGCCTCATCTCTGCCTCCTTCCTCAAGAGCTGGCTTCAGGGATGGCCAGCCTCTCCAGCCACTGCATCCTTCACCTGCCTTCCACTCAGAGGCTCTGCCAGCAGGGCACCTCCCATTTCATCTCTCATGAGATGTGGTGTGGTGGAACATACAACAAAGATGCATCCATGTCTACTATTACTATCACCACCAGCAGCAACAGCATGGTAGCAGTGGCGGTGGTGATTGGTCTCTGCTTCCGTGGATGTGGTTGCTCTCTGCTACCCTTGCTTTGCAGCTGGGTTGGAAATAAGCATGCTGAAGTGGCACTTCACTTGTTGCTGCTCGGACACTGAGGAGGCTGCAGTAGCACTGTCTGGGTTTGAGCAAAGGCGGCCAGGGCTCAGCTGCCCTAGCCAATCTTTCACTGATCCCTAAAGAAAAAGCAGTGGCGGATAATTGGTTGTATGAGCAAATCATCCAATTCCTCCTTGCACTTGAACACATGTGATGGGGATACAGAAATAGCTCTACACACAAACACACAACCAGGTTTAATTATACATTGGGAAATATGAAGGTAAAGATTCATTCTCTGAGCTTAATTAATAATATTAATGTTAAAAATCTTATTTCTTGGAAATTAAGGAATAAACAGAGCTTTTCAGATATTCAGCAACAATTTTTCTTCATATATGTCAGTCATTCACTCCAAATTATAATATATGCATACAAACCCTAAATATAGTATACTCAAGCAATATCTCCCCAGTAGGTGTATTCTCCAATGCAATGGTGGCAACTATCTGTAACTCAGGTGTAATGTGAGGCTAAAGTTTTATTCTCTGCGCTCCGACCTTGTGGGTTGGTTTCCAAACATTTCATTAACAGGCTAGGTAACATATTCAGTGGATTTTAGGGGATGCCAGTGTTCTNCCCATGTACTTTTTCCTGTGTAATCTGTCTTTTATTGACCTTGGACTCACAACAACCATAACTCCTCAATCAATTGCCAATTGTTTAGTGGATAGGCCTGTGATGTCTCTGGCTAGATGTTCTATGCAAATGTATGCTATTCTCTTATTTGGGACAACAGAATGTTTCTTCCTGGTAGTCATGGCTTATGACCGTTTCATTGCCATCTCCAGGCCACTGCACTATACTTTCATCATGAGCAGCACAGTTTGCATTGTGTTGGCTGCTGTTTCATGGTTTCTAGCCTTTCTGTTTACAGTAATTCCTTGCCTTGTAAAGCCAGCCAGATTTTGTGGAAACAATGAAATTGACCACATTGGATGTGAAGTTAAATCTATTGTGAAACTGATTTGTACTGACACCTCTTTAAGCCAGATACAGATGTCTTCCTTTAGCATATTTAGTCTCCTCCTTCCCCTTGCCTTTATCTTTTTTTCTTACATGCGCATTCTTCAGTCCATCCTAAGAATGCCTGCAGCAAAGGGCAGAATGAAGGCTTTTTCAACATGTGGGTCCCACCTGTCTGTGGTGGCTGTGTATTATGGTGTTGCCATTTTTACATATCTTCTTCCTCCAAATGGGAACATGCATGAGGCTGAAAAAATCCTTTTTATCGTTAATGCTGTACTAATCCCTGTGTTCAATCCCTTAGTTTACACCCTCCGAAATCAAGAGGTTCTGCGGGCAGCAGAGAAGATTCTAACGAAAAACAAGTCAGACATGCAATATTGACAAATTGACATATATGTATATTCTTACTCCAGTAGCACAGAATTATACTGCTATTCTTCTGAAGTGATTTAAATTATTTAGAAAATGAAATGTTTCACTTGTTCAAGACATGGTCAGCTTCCGTTCCCATCATGTATTTCTTTCAAAAAAACTTCATAAACACTTTTCATGAATTACTAATTATAGAATATTTGAATATTTGATTGATTTTTTTCCCTATTTATAGTCCTATATTGATTATTAGCCTTTTATTTTTTTTCTTTCACTGTTAGAAATAACATCTCACAGCAATGGACCGTGGTGGAACAGTGTTAGAATACAGTACTGCACACTACTTCTGCTGACTGCTGGCTGCCAGCAGTTTGGCAGTTTGATTTTACTCAGTAAAAGATTTTTTTAATTCTTTACTGTTCTTTATCAACATATTGATTCTTTATTCCTTATGTTGCCAAATCCTTGCTTCCTAAGTATCCAATAAGTTGGTTTTAAATCAGCACTCCTGTATCATTCATTCTGTGCTAATCCTTGAGTGACTTGGCCAGTCACTCATTTCTTCCCACTCCTTGAAGAGCCAATGCCAAA